TAGGAGGGGCAGGAGTGCATAAGGCACAGAGAAAGGGGTGCAGAGGTGGGGGCAGGGAGTGAAGGAGTAGGGGTGCTGAGGCATAGTGGGAGGGGTATGGAGAGAAGTTTGGAGGGGGAAGATATTTGGATATGCAGGGGGAGGGGTGCAGAGGAGGAGGATTGTTGGGGTTTAGGAGTTAGGGTTCAGGGGGTGTAGAGGGGGAGGAGTTCAAAGGCACAGAGAAAGGGATTTGGAGGGAAGGGGTTCGGTGGGGGCAGGGAGTGAAGGAGGAGGTGTGCTGAGGCATAGTGGGAGGTGCAGGGAGAGAAGTTCAGAGGGAGGAGTTTGGAGGGGGAGGGGTGCCGAGGCAGAGGGGAGAGATGGGAGTTGTGGCATTGGCCATCGGATTTTGTAACTCCTCTCTAATTGGCTCGCAGAACCTCTACTCAGCGCTCTGCTGCGCCGCATGCCGTCCCTGGAAGCGCTGGAGATCTTACGCCTGGTCAGCTGCCCGGAGTCCTTCACCCCCGATATGCGCTGTGTGATGGGCGAGAGCCCTACGCTGTCCAAGTACTTCGTGTTGGCCGGGATGAACTCTCAGGGCTGCTCGCTGGGAGGCGGAGCTGGCAGGTGCGTACCGCTTGTATTGCCCCTCCCATTTCCTGTCCATCCAGTGAGGTCATTAATATGTCCGATGGATGAGATTCCAGCTGTGATGTTTGTTCCTCTTCTCCTCCAGGTTCCTCGCGGAATGGATGGTCAATGGTTACCCACAAGATAACGTGTGGCCCCTGGACATCAAGCGCTTTGGGGCCCTCCAGAGCAGCAGGACTTTCTTGCGGCACCGAGTGATGGAGGTCATGCGTAAGTATGTAGGGTACGCAGATCTGGTCATGTGACCATCTCTGGGTCAGGTCTGCGTCTCCGGGAATCCAGCGGCCGGAGAGTTCTGTCTGTTATGAAGTCGCAGCACTTTGAGGGGCCCCTTCCCCCGCGGCCGGCTCCGGACTCATATTTCCACCATCGGTATCGAGTCCAATCCTTTATAATAGGCCCCGCTAATGGGAATCTCACCGACGTGCTCCGAATAAAGGACAGTTACGTCATGTGACTTCTGAAGGTCCAATCTCTGACCCCTCAGATCCCTCAACCCTCTGATCCCTGAACCCTCAGATCTCGGAACCCTCTGATCCCTCAACCCTCTGATCCCTCAACCCTCTGATCCCTCAACCCTCTGATCCCTCAACCCTCAGATCTCGGAACCCTCAGATCTCGGGAACCCTCAGATCTCGGAACCCTCTGATCCCTCAACCCTCTGATCTCTGAACCCTCAACCCTCAGATCCCTCAACCCTCTGATCCCTGAACCCTCAGATCTCGGAACCCTCTGATCCCTCAACCCTCTGATCCCTCAACCCTCTGATCCCTCAACCCTCTGATCCCTCAACCCTCTGATCCCTCAACCCTCTGATC